CTTCGACATTGACCCTCTAGTAATCTTGAGTTTGGGCCGGCTTTGAATTTAGAATTGATGTTTATGGATATGGGTTGAGTTGAGTTGAATTTGGAGTTGAAGTTTATGGATATGAGTTGAGTTGGATAGAGTATAGAGAGGGGATATGGAGAGAAAATTCTGAGAGTGAATGTTGAAGAATGAAGAGGATGATATCGAGGGGTAAAGATAGGATAAGAAAAGATGAGATAAGTCAAAATTTAATAAAGAAACTATTAAAGTTTATTAAAAGAAACTAATCTTTATAATCAGTAATAGATAATGAATACATTCAATAAATTTCAAGTATTTATTAATAGTCAAAAGAATAGAATTTGTTATATTTTAATATACTATCATCCTATTCAATTCATAAGTAGTTAACTGATTTACCCAAGGCAAAAATATAGTATGCTCGCCGTTTGAACTCCATTTGCCCCTTTCCGTTTCGTTTAATGCATGTACGCCTTTGAACCAAGTCCTAATATAGCAGATGATACACATTTCTCCGTTTACCTCCCACGAATCGCCACTAAACCACTTAAGCTGTACCCCTAGGCTTTGCCTTCGCCTTTGCTTTTTCCTTCTTCTCATCCTTAACTTTCTTCTTCTTGGCTTCATTTTTCTCATCATTTTTGCGTTTTAAACTCGCTCTCTCTTCATCTGTCTTTGGGATTGGTTTGAAGAATCCCTCTAATCTTGCTTGCTGTGATGATTTGAGATTCTTGGTAAGTTTTTGAGCAGCACTGCGAACACGATCTTCAGAGAAACCTTTTTCGGCGACGAGGAATTTGACAAGTCCTTCGATATCAGGAGCTTCCCATTTAAAATCGCAGTCTTCGTGATCGGCAGGGCGGACATCAGGGTTGAAGAATAGTTCGCGAGCATCTTGGTATGGCCAATCTTCTGGGATTGTATAACGTTCTTTTTTGTCGGCTTTGATCCATGCGACGAGGGTTTCTAGATCGCCGTGTTCGCGAATAAGTTTGAGGGCAGTGTGTGGACCAACTTTGGGAATGGGGTCGAGATAATCGCAACCGAGGAGGATGCAGAGATCTACGAACTTTGGCTTGCATTAGCATTGCACCAATTTAGAGGGTGTCAAAGTTTCTTACTTGTTTGCGATCCATATTTAAACCTGCAAGGACTTTCTCCAAAATAACTTCTTGAATAGGTTCTTTGCGTTGCTCACTAAAAGTGAGATGTCGTAGAAGGATAGGCGAATCAAAACATAATGTATCCATATCCTCACTCGCCGCCGCATAAACTTTTTCCCGCTCTAGCCAATACAGCACATTGTGCCTCTGCCTCCGTCGGCGCAATAATAAATGGAATTCCCATCAACTTTAATAATTTCTGACATTCGGCGTTATGTTCTCTGGTAACCCTAACTGTTCTCCTTGAAAACTTCTCAATATCTTCTGCCGTACCGGTTTCCTTTGCTTCTTCCAATCCTTCTGTAGCAGTTGCTTTACGCTGGAAACGTTTTGCTAATTCGCCAGACTTGAGCTTTGGTGGCGCACCATCAAAGACATAGACTGGTTTGATACCATTATCGACAATACGAAGCGTGCGGTAGAACATGCCCATGAGATGGGAGGTAGTTTCTCCCTCTTCGTTTGTGAGCATTTCACCCCCAGAGCGGACGGCGATGAGAAAACTATAGATAGACATGGACCTGGTAGGTATTAGTTTCTGAAACCTATAAAGATCAACGTCGAAGGTACATACGCATCCTAGATGAAAAGTTAGACAATTGCGCAAAATGAGTATAGAGTATCAGTAAGATACTTACAATAGCAACTTTCCTACCAAATTGATTTTTAATTTCTCCTTCTTTAACAGCATCAGGAGCTTCATCCTTGATGATAGCCATCAATTGTTTAATACCCATGATTGCGGTGGTATTATATCAATATGTCGATGTTGATTTTTGATTTTGTTGTTGAAAGTTAAAGAAGCTGCCTTTTGATTTGGATCGCATCGATTTTGGAGTTGACGCGAATGACGTGCATGTAGCGCGATCTTCTCGCGTTGAGTGGTTTAAGCCTTAGGCAACAACAGCCAAAAGTTCAGGCATCATCAGATCCGTTTGCGGGGGAGAGTCTAGGGCCGCTTGTGCAATCAACACAATCAATCGACAGCTCTATCAAAATTTCACTGATGATCAGAAACATAAAGACCTGTATAGTTCATACGTATACGTCTATGGCTGATTTTTTATATCTTAATTTCTATCAACGGTATGGTTGATGCAATATGTACACACGGATCGACAGCATTTGTTTCCGAACAATGCCTCGGAGCTCCAAATTCAAATGAATGGTGGCCCGGATTAGCTCATACTTTACTTTATCATATTCGGGGTAGTGTTTATTCCCCAACAATCCTCTCCCCTTACGTTAATATTCAATTGGGAACACGATTATTCGAAGAATCCCAAGATGTATAGACCTTTATTACGAAATGCTACCAGACAATTGGCAAACAGGAGACCGATAGCTCTTGCAACGAGAGGCTTCGCTGCCCATGCTACCCCGCAACCATTTGATTGGAAAGATCCTCTGCGAGCACAAAATCTCTTTACGGAAGAAGAAATAGCTATTTCGGAAGCTGCTGAGCAATATTGCCAGGAACGAATGTTACCTCGAGTTTTGCGTGAGTTTGACTGTTGTGGTTTGGGAGCGCAAGCTAAATGAAGGGTCAAATAGAGGCATATCGAGACGAACATTATGATCGAAAAATACTTGAGGAAATGGGAGAATTAGGATTGCTAGGAGCTACAATTAATGGTTATGATTGTGCTGGTGTATCAAATGTTGCTTCTGGACTTATTACAAAAGCGGTTGAACGAGTCGACAGTGGATATCGATCCGGAATGTCGGTACAGTCTTCGTTAGTGATGGGCGGCATTGATGAATTCGGCACACAAGAACAAAAGGAGAAATATTTGCCAAAACTGGCAAAGGGAAAACTGTTAGGTTGCTTTGGTTTAACAGAGCCAAATCATGGTAGTGATCCTGGATCCATGGAGACAACTGCGAAACCACATCCTACAAAGAAAGGATATTATTCAATATCAGGAGCTAAGACATGGATCACAAATTCTCCAATCGCAGATGTATTCTTGGTATGGGCCAAGTTACAGGAGACTGGAAAGATTAAAGGTTTTATAATCGATCGAGCGGACTGTCCACCGGGAACTTTGGAAACGCCTGCTTTGAAGAATAAAAATGGACTTCGAGCTTCTTTGACTGGGATGATTCAACTCGATGAATGTCCAGTACCTGAGGCAAATATGTTTCAAACAGTTGAGGGTCTTCGAGGCCCATTTACTTGTTTGAATAGTGCAAGATATGGTATTGCTTGGGGAATGACAGGTGCACTCGAGGATTGTATCGATAGAGCTAGAACATATGCTCTTGAGAGAAAACAATTCAAGGGTAATCCACTAGCCAAATATCAACTCGTCCAGAAGAAGCTGGCAGATGCCGTCTCAGATGCTGCTTTTGGAACCCTCGCTTGTGTTCAGGTAGGAAGACTCAAGGATAAGGGAGAAGCAGCGCCAGAGATGATTAGTATGATTAAGAGACAGAATTGCGATGCTGCACTTCGAAATGCGAGAACATTACAGGAAATCTTTGGTGGTAATGCTGCGAGTGATGAGTATGGTATTGGAAGACATGTTTCGAATTTGTTTGTTACACAAACATATGAAGGACAAAGTGATATTCATTGTAAGTTGTCTCTACCTTTCGTTCTTGGTATACGGTGTGATTCGAACTGGTGCTAACTAATACATTAGGTTTGATTCTTGGAAGAGCCATCACTGGTATTCAAGCATTTTGTTAATCAAATTCAAATGAATCAAATCGATTTGAGCGAGCAACAAGTGGAAAATGGAAACGGCAGGTGATTGAATCATGTAGAAATAAAATGATGACCGAGGTATCAACTCTAGATGTTTTATATGAAGTTTCTTTGTGGAAAAAGGTGAATAGGAGGAATCGAAAGGTTGTACTATTATGGAGTATCCTTTTTGAATAAAGAGGTTTGATCAAATAGATGTGAATAATGTCTTGAATTCTTGGTGAAAGCAATCTTATATCTGGTCTAACATGAAATACTCGTATATATCAGATTTTTCGAGAGGAAAAGGTTTGAAATTTGCCACCATTCGGACATCTTCGGTGGTGAAAGAATGATGAAAGTCATCATACAGGTATCCGAGCTGCAAGGTTTCATGTACCTAAGCATTAGGCATATTCCATAAATGAATTGGAATTAGAGGTGTTTAGTTTTTTTAAAGTTAGTTATTGCTTGATAATCTTTTCTAATAAAGTATAGTAAAATGAATTTATAAAAATGAAATTATTTTTATTTAATTTATCAAAATTATGTTACGCCGAGTAACAGGAAACTCTCACGTGCAACCAATATCACGTGATTGGCTCAGTGAGGATCAATGCAGCTCAGTACTGAGCTGCATTGATCCTACTGAGTAGCCATCGGCACGAAGGTCTATATAATCTAGATGGATTTCCTTTGTATAGAGCTTCGTGCTCAAGATCAATCATTTAGTATACTTTACTATTAGTTACGAATAGTATACCATTATTGTCATTACTTAAGTCCCTGCTTGACGCCTAGTTATAAATCACCTCGAGAGCCTAGAGCACTTCCACGTGATCTAGACGGCAAACCTCGTAACAAAGCAGGGACTTAAGTAATGACAATAATGGTATGCTATTCGTAACTAATAGTAGAGTATACTAAATAATTGATCTTGAGCACAAAGCTCTATACAAAGGAAATTCATCATGATTATATAGACCTTCGTATTATACATCCCATCGCCTCCCATTATATCCCACTGCCTGTAGTTGAGTGATTCTAGATGGGACAATGTTGGGTCATGTGACCATAAGCTTAGTCACCTAAGTAGCTGTTAGGATTGGTCGTAACAATTGAAGATAATATTGATGTTGATGGCGATGGCGTTCTTTTCCGAGTGGCATAGCCATCATTCCGACTGTGATTGTTCACAATTATAAATGTTTGATAAGAAATTGATAATCCAAGAGATTTTCAAGTAACTTCGAATTGAATCTTTTATATTCTATGATGTACAATATACACACCTAAATAAGTCTTTAATTCTTAAGAAGGGAAGTGAATAAAATCTTGTAGATGAAGGGTACATCAGTTATCAAGGAAAAGCTACATGTAGTACAGCACAGCAAAGGAAATCGCCTAACCTGCGCAGCACCGACACTTTCGCCGCTTCTTTGCAACCCAAACCAAACATAAAGCCAAGGCACAAGGCAAGGAAGGCAAAGCAAAACCAAATAAAAACGACACCGACAGAGACACAGACAGACAGACACAGATTCAGATTCAGATTCAGATTCAGATTCAGACTTGCGACTTCTTAATAAAACCTTACAAATAAATCAACAATATCCCACCTTTTAAAACAACTCTCCTTCTTTCTTCCTACCTAGTCAAGTATTCAAGAATACTCCTTCAACGGTCATACAATCAGCAATCTTTTGGTATGTATTTATTATTTCCATTAAAAATCTCTCTTCAATTCTCCATGTACTTGTTCATATGTCTGTATAACTTCAAAAACAGTTAATATGATTTTACCGCTCTCTCCTCTACCCACTTTATCTATCCTCTTCCGTCATCTTCGGCATAGCCGCTCGCGTGTTTTTTAGTTGTCGCTAACAACAAAATCGTGTCTAACAGAAATCCCAGCCCACTCACTCACTTCCTTACAAGTCCATAACTACTGCGACCTCGAGAAATCCATCAACGTACTCGACCCGAAACCTCCTACCATACACCACTCTCTATACAAAATAATACATACTTCAAAATGGCTTTGAAGAGAATCAATAAGGAACTCACAGACTTGGGCCGGTATGTTATTTTTCCATCATATTTGTCACCGCCACGATGTCTGAAGGATCTTGGTGGGGCTACATCGTGAGCGGGGTCTTGTGCGCAGGATTATCAAAAACTTCATGACGGCGATGATATTTTATATGGATGGTCTTGGGGATAGTATGCTAATATGATTTTTCAATAGTGACCCTCCCTCGTCATGCTCTGCTGGACCCATAGGAGATGATTTGGTATGTTATTCTTCGATCGAAATTTGATACCATTTGAGGCACAGAACACCTTCAAATGCGCTCAAGATGGATATTATGGCAAGCAAATATATCAAGGAAAGGATACTAATATTGTTGTTTCATTTAGTTCCACTGGCAAGCTACTATCATGGGACCTGTAAGTTTGATCTTATTCCTAACTCTCTTTGATCTGATGGTCTTCCACCGCTGATCTATATACTCTCGAATCTCATTGGTTATTATGATCATTAGCAACATACTGACATCTTTTCTAGTCTGACTCACCATATACCGGAGGTGTTTTCTTCCTCGCCATTCACTTCCCTACCGATTACCCATTCAAGCCCCCCAAGGTTAGCTTCACAACTAGAATCTATCACCCAAACATCAACTCGAATGGAAGCATCTGTTTAGACATCTTAAGAGATCAATGGTCCCCAGCTTTGACTATTTCCAAAGGTATATTGTCAATCTTGATTATCTCTTGATAAAACACAACTAATTTGTATTTTAGTTCTTTTGTCTATCTGTTCCATGCTTACCGACCCCAACCCCGATGACCCACTTGTTCCAGAGATCGCACACGTTTACAAGACCGACCGATCTAGATATGAGGCCACAGCCAGAGAATGGACGCGAAAATACGCCATCTAAATTACCTTCTATAACCTTCAAATTACATATGACAAAGCATGATGGATAGGAATAACGGATGGGTTAACGAATTTCCTCTGTGTTCTCTCTATCTTTTCTTTTCTATCCTATTGCGTAAAGGATTTGCTGGCGTCAACGAAATTCGATGAATGAACAACTTTTTGGTCTGGGTTCACTTAGGTACTTTACTCTTTTACACGAAGCACATTACATGGCGGGATTGTAAGCGCTCCTGCTTGGGGGATATTTTCGCGATGGATTGGGGTAGGAATCGTGGGAGAGGTTGAGAAGATTTGTGGAGGATAGATATGGGGAGAATGCAATGTGATGGATGATGAATAAGGGATGAGGGTTGGGGAAATAGATAATCATGTTACATGATGGATAGGCTGTCGTCGTCACCTTCTTTTTCTTACTATCCTCCTATTCGTTGATATTCAGGTCCATAGCATTACTCGGAGCTTTTCTCATTTTGTGATGTGTTGTTCCATTTGATTTTTTGGTAATAATTTTGATAGGTGAGGTGAATGGGATGTATGGATGAATGAAGTGAGATTTGTGATGTTTATAAAAGAAGGAAGTATGATATGAATCTTGAGGACTGTCTACCTGCTAGGTAGCTATTCACTCCTCAGAAACAAGGAGGGAGCATCATAAGTATGATGGGATGTTACTGTGATGTGAATGGGTACGGATAAGTATGGAGGTATAGATATAGATATAGATGAGAAAGGAGTATGAATAGATATGATGTTGGTATGGATATAAAGGGCTAGAGATGGATTTCTATATCTTTTGGTGGTTATTGTTGGTGTTGCTGGTGATGTTGATGAATAGTAGTGTAGAAGGGGAGTGGGTTTAATGGGCAATGGGATTGAGGAGTGGGCTTGGAGGGATGATGAAGGGGTTATAGAAGTTGACGGTTGGGGAGTCGGAAGGGTTGGGTTTGGTGGATGATAGGATTAGAGTAGGGAGAGAAGGGGAGGAGGGAGAGTGAGGAGTGAAGTAATCAAATATAAATATAAATATAAATATAAATATAAATATAAATATAAATATAAATATAAATATAAATATAAATATAAATATAAATATAAATATAAATATAAATATAAATATAAATATAAATATAAATATAAATATAAATATAAATATAAATATAAATATAAATATAAATATTGTTAAAAGGAATAGAAGTTACCGGTACTAATCACGTGTCGTGATTAGTAATACGGTTACCTAAACAGGCTAGATTAGACGAACCATAAGCAGGCATATTGGTCCCCTCCGAGGATACCAAGAGGAGATTAATATGCCTACACACGTAGTAATATAGTCAATATAGAGGCCTCTTCCACCCAATCTTTTAATAAATATACATATAAATACATGCTCTGGATAAAGTTAAGTATAGAAAATAAAACCAGAGCACATATAAGAAAAGAGTAGAGTAGCAAAGAAGAATCAACCACAAGGAAATAATTCATCTGTTACGAGGTTTGCCGTCTAGATCACGTGGAAGTGCTCTAGGCTCTCGAGGTGGTTTATAACTAGGCGTCAAGCAGGGACTTAAAGTAATGACAATAATGTAATTCGTAACTAATAGTAGAGTATACTAAATAATTGATCTTGAGCACGAAGCTCTATACAAAGGAAATCCATCTTGATTATATAGTCCTTCATGCTTCTATGATCACTGGTGATCCTTCATGATCACCAGTGATCACCTATATCGTGATCCTTAGTGATCCTTAATGATCACTACTGATCATTTGTGATCACGTGTCTTGGTAGTTGTGTAGCCCGTCGTAACATCATCATCCTGCAGAACTCCAAGAAGAAAGTGTCACGATTCACCATTAGGATTGATGGTGTTACGATGGTATCAAACTGATTAATTAGGAGAGCTTAGGCCTTGTGCAAACACGATCAGATTTCATCGAATTAGTATGTGATCTTGGTCACCTGAAGATCGTATGCGCACGCACCATCAGAAATCACGTGATAAGGAGCCCTAGGAGCTTCGTGCTCAACTTAGTTATCAATTAGTTTACC